TGCCAACTGGCAAGTGGTCCTGCAGACACAGGTGAGCTGCTGCTTGCCTGTGCTAGTCGTGTCCCAGAACAACTTTAAATTCATATCCACAGGTCTCAAGAGAGCTGTCGCACTTCCAGCCATCTTTTCTATTTCCCGTGACGGTTCACTTCCCCACCCTGAGGCCATTTTTCACCTTCTCCTTACTCCTCGTGCTCAGGTGATGCCCTCACTTCTTATAACACTGAGAAAATAAAAGCAATCAGGAGAGAATTGTCCCATCCTCTCACCACTAGATCTTCCAACTTACTTGCTGGTACAAGCAGCTACTTAAGGCCGACCTCTCCATTTATACTCTGGGCCCATCTCTTCTCACCTCTGCAGGACTTCTGATGTCAGTGTTTCCTCTCTGTTGGGTCAGCTCCATCTCAAAAGCCCAACAAAAACCTCTCAGGCCCCCATCTACCACTCTGTTTCTCTGTTCCTTGTTAGAATGCAATCCTAGACTCTGGCTTTGCTTCCTCACTGTCCATTCTCTCAGCTGTATGTCGCCTTCTACTCCACTGAAGCCACTTTTGTTAGGACCAATGACTTTCTCTTCCCAAAGTCGGTGACCAATTCTTAGTCAGCGTCTCTCATCTTTCAGCAGCATTACATAAAATCAGTCACTTCCTCCTTAAATTCTTGACTTCTCTGGTTTTCGTTATAGGCAGCTTCCTTACTGGCTTCTCCTTACTAAACAGTGGGTGGCCCAGGGCTCATCCTGGCCCTTTCCCCATCTATGCCCACTCCCAAGGTGATTTCATACAACCTCATGGCTTTACATACCATCTCTATGCTAAGTTTGGTCTTTTTATGACTCACAGATACGTGATCTCTTCTCTGAGCTAGACTAACATATCTAGCTAGCTCCCGACTTGAGGTCTCTATATGGATGTGAGATCTCAAAGTTGATGTCTGAAACCAAATCTGTTCTTCCTCTGGGCTTTCCCATCTTAGTAAATGCCATGTTAGTCACCTAGTTGCATGGTATAATCCTAGGAGTTATCTTGAATACTCTCTTAGACCCCACAACCAATCCACTAGCAGATGCTATCATCTCAACCTTTAAAATACATGCTCTTGCTCATTAGTCTAATCTACCATCATCTCTTGCCTGAACTACTGATAAGCTTCCTAATGTTCTTTCTGATTCTCTTGTTTCTACCAGTCTCTCAGCACAACAGAATTAATTTCTTAAAAACGTAAATCATTTCACATCACTGCCCTTCTCAGAATCTTCCAGTGGTTTCCCATCACATTTGGGATAAAATCTAAGTTCTTCACCATGGCCTTCCAGGCCCCAGTCGGCCTGGTCCTCCACTCTCATCTTTTACTTGCCACCACTTACGTTGCTCTAGCGATACTTTCTCGATGATCCTCGCACATGCCAATCTATTCCCACATCAGCCTTTTGCACTTCTTTCCTGTCGACTCCCCACCCCCACCCCTGCCACCGGACACTCTCCTCTGAGATCTTTGTATGTCTCACTAAGTGACTCCAGGTCTTTGTTCACATTATCCTCAGTGACGCCTTCCCTGACTGACCTACCCCTCCATCCTTCTCCCCTTACCTTGCTTTGCTTTATGGCATTTGTCACTAACCATGGATATCCCCATTGTAAGAAAAGCACCTAGCATATGGTAGGCACTCAAATATTGGTTGAATGAACGCTGACCTGCCCTTTTTCTCCCCATCCCCATGCCCAGAGGTGATCGTGGCCTTGGCTGTATGTGGCTCCATCCTCTTCCTTCTCATAGTGCTACTACTCACCGTCCTCTTCCGGATGCAGGCCCAGCCTCCTGGCTACCGCCACGTTGCAGATGGGGAGGATCACGCCTGACAACCACTCAGCCCCCTTCCCTCTGCCTCCTAGGGGAGGTGGGCTTGGCCCTTACTCCTGACTGTTGCTGCTCCCAGCCTATGGACAGGAGCCCCTGAGTTGGGCCTCCCTCTGATTTTACCCCAGCGTAGATGAACAAGTCGGGCTTGGCTTGGCCCATGGCACCTGTCACTCAATATTCACGTGTCTGATGTTTACCAAGTACTGTGTTGGACACTGGCTCTCTCCAAACAAGATTTGCCTTCTCCATGCTCCCTAAGGACCTGAAATGTAGAAAAGGAATTCAAGTTTTGCTCCAGACCTAGGATTAAAATAACTGAAGGAGTTGGTGCTTGATCTGCCTTGGGCTCCCCACCCTCACCCCTCCATCAAGTCCTGCTCTCTCCCTTGGAGCCTGGAATCTTTGGCAAATGGCTCAGAGGGTACAGTTTTACCTTTCAGTGCTTATTTTAGTGGGAAAAATTGCACAACATTGGGGGTACAAACAACGGCCACCAAGGAACTAGATTACCCAACAGTCAGCCAATCAAATTTTCCTTTGTCTAGCTGAAGCCACCATTAGAGTCAGACATAATGCTTCAGGCATCCTGGTCACCCTGCATCCTGAGCAGGTTGGAAGGGCATTTGTACCTGGGTGGGAGTTGGGGGAGGTGGGAGGAGAGTAAATTGTGGTACAGAGTCATGAAACTACTATCCCTCTCAGCTGGCCTGGGGTCTTAAGGGATGTGAGGTAAATGCAGGTTGTGAGCTGCATAACCATTGACTGTGGCCCAGAATAGGGCTGAGGCAGCTTGAGAAAATGAAAGTTTTAGACTCTTACGCTGTTTCTGTGCCTTTTCTTCATTTTGGGGACCCAAGGAGCCCTCTGACCAGGTCAGTCCTGAAAGGTCCACGCAGAAGCTCAGTTGGGTATGATTTTATTGGCCATGTCAATAGTGAACACATATCAAAACCACCACCTGATCACTCTGCCGTCACATGTCAGGGAGAAGAAAAGTTCCTTGACTCCAGGAGAAGCTTGGCTTCGGGCTAGATACAAGCAGGTACCCTTGGGGCAGCTGAGTCACCAACTCTGGAGAAGTTTCCAGAGCTAAGTCCAGAACAATAACATGCCAGTGTCTCAGCCCCACAGTATTCCATGCCACAGCATCCCTGCTCCAATCCTAAGACTTGAATACCTTTGGCCCTTTAACACATAGCCACCTCTTCTCGCAGGACTTGTTCTCACGTGGCTCCAAGCCCTGGCTTGATCCGTACCTTCTTTAATGTCTCATTTCTGCATCCCAGCTTCCTCTTGGCTCCAAATGAGAATGTGATAACCTAGGAGGAGTGAGACCAGTCTGACTCTTATTTTCCATTATCAGTCTCAGAGCTTAGGGCTGGCCTAGGGAACCTAGAACTTGGGAAGGAAATACCAAGAAACTGGACAGCAGCCAGCCATTGCCATGACTAAGACAAAGCAAGAGGGGGTGGAGAGCCTAGCGAGGCTAAGAGGCCACTGCTCCTGGTTATCTTCTTTACTGACGTCGTGGAGTGAATGTGGCAGGGCTAGTGAGGTTAGCCTCCACTAAACCTTGGGAAGTAAGGTTGGGCTTAGTCAGTCTGAGATACAACCTACTTCACTCACCCATCAAAGAAGCCAGCGTGTCTCCCATAGGATTGAACTCATTGAGCTGCAAAGACAGGAGGATAAGTATGAAGAGGGGGTGAAGGTATTATGCAAAGGGCACAGGAGGACTAATTTCTGATAATTTTTGGTCAATAAGGTAGGTTGAATCCCTGCTTCCTCCCACCATTTGAGGGCCCAAGCCTCACCGAAATGATTCCAGAAGATTCTGGGTCATAGAGCTGATGCATCAACTTCCCTGAGCTTCCATCAAATACATCGATTGTCCTTAATTCATAGGGGGTACAACTTTTGAAATTAGGATCTGGGTATCGGCCCACAACAATGAAGTTGTACCGAGGATGCCAGGCTGCCTAGGAGATGGAGAAACTGGTCACAAAGAGTAAATGCAGAACACTATCAAGAGGCACATCAAAAGTATTCTTTGCCTCTAATGATTGTTAATACAGCTGCCAACAATTTAATCATAAAGATGAAATCTACATTGAAACTACAAGAATGGTTTTCAATTGCACGTACATCTACCATTGCAAATTTTAAATCCTTAGCTGGCCTCCCTGGCCCTTAAGATACCTTCTGGCCTTCTCTCTCTTGAATTTCCTGAGATCATACCAACTGATAAATGTTTTAATGTCAGACTGACCTAGACATTAACCAAAGAGGTAGCCTACAATAAAGCAAAAGACCACTGGTAACCAAAGCCAAATAGGACATAAGTTCTCAAGTTACCCCACTATTATCTCTTCCATCAGTGTGAATGATGGAGAGTTGAGTAGAAAATGGCTAGTGGCTGAAAAGGGGAGGAAACCTGTGTTCTCCAGATTACCCCACTCAAAACAAATCTGATTGTTACTGGAATGACAGATTGGATGGGATTTTTATAAGAAACTTAACAAGGAAGACTGTACATGCAATGGCTTGGAAGTAAGTCACAAACCAGTCACACCTGGGAAGCTGTAAGTTGGCTTGGCTGGGTATGAAGTGAGAGATGAGAACAGATGGATCCGTGGAAACACAAATGGTAAAAGTCCTTGCTAGTAAGAGCTTGGATTTGATTAGAGGTATGTGGGGATCACTCTAATACTAAATCATCACCATTTTACTAAGTACCCACCAGGCACCAGGCATGGTGCCATGCCATGGGCTTTGAGTACACTGATTCAGCCTGACAACAACCGTCAGTTAGATACTATTATTCCCTTTTTATAGATGAGGAAACTGAGATCCGAACTTGAAGTAATTTGCCCAAGATTCTAACAGTGGGTTGAGGTCTGCCTGCCTGAAGCTGGTGCCCCCACCACTGTGCTATACTGGCCAAAGAAGTACAGGCATGAAACGTGGAGGTCTGAAGAGGGGCTGTGGTTCTAGAAAAGAATATAGAGTGGAAGAACTGGCAGAGTTCACACTGCTTAGGAGGGCGTGCGCAGGAAGGAATCACAGGATTCAAAGATTGTAAGCCTTGGAGACTGAAGCTAGAGAGGCTGTTAACAAGAAGGATGAGGTTACAGCCCTAAAAACAATGAAATCTTGCCATCTGCAACAACATGAATGGACCTGGAGGGTCCTGTGCTGAGTGGAGTAGGTTGGACAAAGAAAGACAAATGCCATGTGATTTTACTTACATATGGAAACTAAAGAACAACAAAAAAACTCAGATACAGAGAACATTTTGATGGTTAGCAGATGGGAGGTGGGTCGGGGGGGTGGTGAAAAAGTGGACAGGATTAAGAAGTACAAATTGGTAGTTACAAATAGTTATGGGGATATAAAGTATACCATAAGAAATATAAACAATATTGTAATAACTATGGTTTCAGATGTGTACTAGATTTGTCAGGGTGATCACTTTGTAAGTTATATAAATCTCTAATCACTGTGTTATGCACCTGAAACTAATATAACGTCGTATGCCAACTGTAATTAAAAAATAAAAAACCTATTAAAAAAAGAAAGGCTGAGGTTAGCTTATGGATGAACCACATACAGAGTAACTGACAGGGCAGAACAGAGGGTAAGGATCTTAGAAACTGCCCACGGTAAGGATATTAGGGCTGGAAAATAGCTTATCAGAAAGACAAAACTTCGTTAACCAATGTCACCATAATAAAAATAAAAAATAAAGACAAAACTCAGCAAAATGGGATTGCAGAAGTGAGACAAAGAAGCAGAACAAGCCAGGGAATAAGAGACCACTTTATATCAGGGCAGGAAGAGATCTGGGATTAACGGCTTCTGTCTGTACCTACCCTCTCCCCACCATGGGCAGGCTCGATCTGTCCCCATGATCATGGCTCTTTACTTACCTTGATGGGCGTCAGGTGCTGGAAGTGGCGGTGAGGGTGCGGGATCAGGCTCGGGGGGCAGTCCCACTGGGAGGCAGAGTAAACCCGGATCTCACTGTTCTGGTCAGTGGTCAGCAGCTGGGCTCCATCGGGACTGAAATGAGCTATCAAGTGAAAAGCCCCTGAGCTGAAGGAACCACGGGTCCCCTGTTGTCCTGGCCTTCACAGGACTGCTCTTGCGGGAGCACCCTCCCTCCCACTCCTTTCTAGACAGGGGTGGAAGGGAAGAGGTGAATCTGGGCTGTGAACAAAAACATCCTAGAAACTCAGCAGCTATTGAGGGCAGCTAGAGTCAGAAAGGTTCCCAGACATCAGTTTGGCTGCTATGGAGGATAAAAGTTTGACCCAGAAGCTCCTAAACTTTGAGAGAAAACTCCAGAAGTGGTGGGGTGGGCAGAGTCTGCAAGAAGGATGAGGTCTGGTATATCACACCTGCGTTGACAGGATGCCTGTGTGGCAGTGAGTAGAGGAAGCTGGATTTCCCTTTAACCTGGCGCAGGTCCCAGATTTTCACTGTTTGATCTACAGAGGCTGTGGCCAGGAACCAATCACAGCATGGGTTCAGGGCCAAATGGGTCACTTTCTTTTTGTGCATTCTCAGATTCCAAAGCTGCAGAGAAGAGCTCAGTTCAGGTGGAGGCAGAGAACGGAGGCTGGGGATAAGGGAAGGAGAGGGAGGACCCGAGCTCCCGAGAACACACCTCCTTGCCGTCCATGCTCAGCAGGATCACGTTCCCTACATTGTCTCCTGTGACCACCACTCGGCTTTTGGCAGACACATCCAGGCTGCAAAACCAGAAGCTGGGGGGAGAGACTGTGCTGTAAGATTCTTGGGGACAGAGGCAAGGTCCATTTATTCACTGCTGTAGCTCCAGTGTCTGACGCATAGTAGACATTCAATAAATATGTATTGAATGAATGGACTCCCAGTAAAGAATACTCAGACTTGTCTGCTGTCCAGACAGAGGGTATGGGCGTTAAGAGGCTTATAAATGTGTCCAGTTACCGCTGGGCCCAGGATCCTCAGCTAGTACAAGAGTCCCTGAAGCAGCCAAACCTCAGAGGCATAAGGCAAGTCCCTGGGCTAGCTTGGCCCCTATAGGGCTGGGTTCTCAGGAAGACTCCTTTATAGCTCTCCCCCTTCACTCTCCACCTGTTGGGCTAAAGGTGACAAACCAAACAGGGACTGCTCAGCTCTGTTCCTCAGAGCTGGCTAGAAAGGAACTTCTGCCCCCTTCTGAGCATTTAGAGAAGAAAGCACACACAACTCAGAAGCTGTCTTACATTTTTGTCCCTCAGACTCCTTGAGGACTAAG